CCAGGGAGGCGGGGCAGGGGCGTAAGCCCCCGGCTGCGCAGGGGGCGTGAGCCCCCGGCTGTGGGGCCCCGCCAAAATTGGGGCGGGCCTTTCTGGCGCGGCTGCGCAGGGGGCATGAGCCCCTGGGCCGCTGGGCCCCCGCCAGAGGGGGGGGGAGGGGGCCGGGCCCTTCCGGTGCCGCCCAGCTGCGCAGGGGGCATGAGCCCAGTAGTGTAGCTTTTGAGGGAACCTGGTCATTGACATAGCTGTGCACTCTAACTCAAAAGCACAACTAGGATCAAGAATCTTTATTTATTTTTTTAAATTATTTAATTTTAATTTACATTTAATCATGTTCATCTTTATAGTATACAACATTGCTTTTTCCAGCATGAATATGATGTATATCAGTCAAGATGAAGACTTACTATATATATTATCAGCAGCAAATAGCTTTTCATTTTTTTGTCAATTCAACATACTTTTTTTACTTTCCCTGTTTCCCTCCCTCCCTTCATTACCCTCCCTCCCACATTACCCCTATCTTCACTTTCTCTACTATCTACCATTGCCTTCCCAGCTTCTATACCTTACACACTTTCAATTTCTGCTATAGCACACAATCAGTATATATATATTTTTTTCCTTTTTTCCCCACATTTTATTGATTCACAGAATTTCTTAAATAATCTAACTACTTTCAATAGCAAGCTCTGCTGATATATACATATCTATGAATACATGTCTTACTTAAGGCATGAAACTCTGAGTAGAATGAATACACTGTAAGGTAGCACCTAGCTAATGCTATATAGTATACTACGGTCATTAATGATGTATTTTTACTATATTTTTTAATTTCAAGAAAAGCAGATTTAACTTTAATAAATCAAAGAAATGCTAAGGAATATGCTTAAAACTTAAAGCCAGGAAGCAGGTTGGGATTTTGTTCAAATAGTGGGTACATGAACCTTTCAGCAGCTCAAGACAAGACAAAAATCCTTAAAATTGGAAAACAAAGCCTAGGGAAAAAAACAATGTTTTAGTCAAAAGTCATAAAATTCTATTTCACCAGTTCAGTCTCATGTACTTTATCTTTTGTTGTGATTCAATTTTCCCAATTAAATTCTGGGATATAATATTCAACTCCAGACTTGTCCCACGATTAAGTTGGCCATTTTCTTAGTTTTTAAAGTCTTATTTCTGTGTGATTATATTTAATTTTTCTGGTATAGCACTCTCTGCAGAACTTCTTGGAGATGAGGTCTGGTGTTGGTAAATTCTTTCAGGTTTTGTTTTTCTGAGAATGTTCTTGTCTTTTCTTACCATATGAAGGATAATGTTGCCAAGTATAGTATTCGTGGTTGCAACTGCTTTTCCCTTAACACTTTGAATATATTTTCCCATTCTTTCCT